GAAAGGACAGAGTCCGTCTCCATCTCATCCGCCAGATCTAGCTGCGAACCCCACGACCGAAGTCGATGCTCAGCCTCAGCACGAACGGGACCCGAACCGCGAGGAGCGTGCGCCACGGGAGCTTTATTAAAGAACTCTCTCCGACTACGCAGCTCTTTACGGGAGAGAACGTCACAGTGTCCACAGTCAGCATTCTCAAATGCTACCAGGGCATGCTCTTCTCCCAAACACTCTAAACACAAATCATGTGAGTCACCAGCCGTAATAAAGCGAGGGCATGGAGGCACACAACGTTTAAAGTTTTTCTCTGCCATACCAAAATAAAAAAGTAAGTTGTCAGTTTTTTTTGTATTTTGTGTATGCAAATCAGTAATGAAAGTTCACAGAAAGAGGGTGTATTTTCACGTGCGTGCTTCCTGAAAGCAAAGAAGTTGATACTGACTGCTCAGTACAGGCTTTTATACTCTCTGGTCTGACGACACCTGCTTAATTACATTAGATTGATTTCACATGTGCTTCAAGACGCGTATAAAAGAGGTGTTCCCCCTAGCGTTCTGGTTTGACGCAGTGTTGAAGTTCCCTAGAAGGGGAATGGTGAATTTTTCAATATTTATTTGCCCAGCTGTATAGGAAGTGCAACTTTTGTTTTTTAAATATCTTTACTGACATTTTTTATTTTATTTTATTGTATCATTGCTGAATAAATGCATTTAGACTTACTGACATTAAACATTGGAACAGTAGTTTACATAGAAAAATAGGTAAGAGAAATCAGTTTTATGTGTGTACAAACTTTACCCACACAAACAGTTTTTGTCAGTCATAGAATGTCTAATGTAATATGATCATTCTAAAGCACAGTCATTTGAGGAGCACTGCTGTGGGCAAATATCCCGTCCTCTAATGACATCCACCAGGATTAGTGAAGTCACACAGGAAGTCGTTCTCCATCCGTTTCGGCTGGAAGTGTATATATAACAGGGAAGCCGTCCTTCATAATAGGAAGGTTGATTCATCCTCCTTTACACAGATGATGGATAGAGCTGTCGCAATGATTCTTTCCCCTCACCTCGGGAATGAGCCACTCATGGGACGAGATTAATATAGACAGATAACACTGCAAGATCAAACACTCCACGTCCAAAACCAACAAAAAGGACACATATCACTTAAATCAGCAGTGAAGGGAATCATCACACTGAGCGCATGCAAAGATTGGACTTCTATGATGTAAAATTTGCTCATTCATTTTCTTTCAGCTTATTCATCAGGGGTCTGGGTCACCACAGCGGAATGAACTGCCATGTCTTTGGAAACCGGAGTACCTGGAGGAAACCCATGCGAACACAGAGAGAACATGCAAACTCCACACAGAAATGCTAACTGACCCTGTGCTGCAGGCCCGTGCAGAGACCATCCAAAGGGCATGTGCAGGTTAAAATTTTTGAAGAGCGGGGGGTTGGGGCGGTGGAGGTGGTGGTGGGGGGTTACGCACGTACTGAAGAGCGGTGGGTGTTGTCGGTGGGGCGCGCGTTCTGATCAGCTGTGTTGTCGCGCGCGTACTCGAGCGGTGTTGTCGCACGCCTACTGAAGAACGGGACCGAGGGTGTGCCGCGTCGTGAGGGCACTTTTGATCATTTTGGAAGGGCACATTCTATCCAAGACTAAAAAGGGCATGTGCACTGCACAGGTTGAGCCCTATGTGTGCACGTGCCTGCTGTGCGGTGATAGTGCTAACCACTGAGCCACCGTGTCGCCATGATGTAAAATAATGTATGTATTTCATAGCTGTTTTACCTTAAGTGCAACAGTAAAATTATGTTTATTAATTAGATTAAAATATTATTTAAAATAAATTATATCATTTTTTTTGCCTTGTCAATTAAATTAAATTAAATATTAATTTGACAATTTTTTTTATAAAATAATCTTTATAATTGATTAGTGTATATATTTTTATTGTACGTACAACATTTTTAAAGAATTCTCTTTCACCAAAACTGCATTTACTGTATTTAAACAAATCAAAACAAACAAACAAAAAACAGTTCAAATGTGAACTATTATATTCATTCATTCATTTTTCTTTGGCTTATTCTCTGATTTATTAGAGGTCGCCACAGCAGAATGAACCGCCAACTAATCCGGCATATGTTTTACTTAGCGGATGCCCTTCCAGTCACAACCCAGTGGGAAACACCCATACACTCTCGCATTCACACACACTCATACATTGAGGCCAATTTAGTTCATCCATTTCACCTATACCACATCTTTGGTCTGTGGGGGAAAGCCGAGCACGCGGAGGAAACCCACGCCAACACGGGGAGAACATGGAAACTCCACACAGAAATGTCAACTGGGCCAGCCAAGACTCGAACCAGTGACCTTCCTGCTGTGAGGCAACAGTTCTAACCACCCAGCCACCGTGCCGCTCACAACTATTATATTATTACATACCATTATCGCTTCATGTTTTCATTTTACAGTTAATTGTTTTGTATTATAATACATTTTAAAATGTCATTTATTCTTGTAATTCAAGGCTTTAGGGTCAGGTCAAAATTTTCAGGATCATTACTCAATCTTCAGTGTTATGTGATTCTTGAGAAGTTAGATTCAAGCCATCTGTCATTTCAGAAGTGTTTCAAGACCTCGCGAATATGTGTTTGATTGACAAGATTGGAAAAAACTCATGTAGCCTTGTGGACCGTGCATTTGCACAAAGGTGTCATGCTGCAAATGGCTTTGGTTTGAATCCTGACTAGTACAAATACTCTGAAATTATAACTTGATGTATTCCAACAATGTTAGTGCTTTAGGACTAAAACAAGATATATTTATTAACAAAGTATGCATTCGGATGTCGGATGTTAAAACAAAACAAGTTACAAGAACAAAGCATTTAAAAACTGATGTCTGTAGCTGCATCACCCTGGATTCAAACCCATTATCTCTGCATGCTAGTCACTACTACGTGTCACTGTAGAGATGGGTTTCGAAACATTTCAAATCTTCGACTGTTTCAGAAGCCTCGCTTTGCCCACCACTAAAGCAAAGCAAAAGAAAGCAAAGGTCAAAAACACGGGAAGGCAAGACAAGGATAACACTTACGTGATGCTCTAATCAGAATCAAGCCTCAGCAAAGTTTGTAGGGACGGCTGACTTAAACTGACGTTTCGATACAGTGTCGAGATCCCAAAGCACAAGTGTTTCGAAACACTGCACCGAAGCATGATCCGAAACACCCAGGTCATGTGACTAAAGTGTTTCGAAACACACAGGTTAAATGACAAAAGTTGTTGTTTTTTTAAACACCAGGTCATGTGACTAAAGCGATTCAAACAACCGGTCAATTCAGAAGTGTTTCAAGACCTGGCGAATATGCGTTTGATTGACAAGTGTATTTTAACAATGTTACTGTTACTGTCAATTTGATCAACTGGTACTTTGCTGAAGCTGTTCCAGTGCAATACATAAAAAATTACCACTAGGTGTCACTGTACAGACGTGTTTCAAAACATTTCAAAGCTTCGACACATTTGCTTCAACTGTTTCAGTGTTTCATGAAGCCTCACTTTGCCCACCACTAAAAGTTTGTGTAAATGTGTGGTTTATATAGTCCAAGTAATCTTTCAATAATGAACTTCAGCTGTATGTGCATCAGTGTCCAGATAACTGTCAGCTGTGGCAGGAGTGATTAGAACAATGACTTCTGGGAGTTGTAGTTCGGTTCAGTGGCAGAATTGTAGTTCTCCAGCAATCTGCAACTGCTAGATCGCTGGAGATTATGAAATGTTTAATGTGAATTAGATAATAATAATAATGTTTTAAATACCATTCTAAGAACAATAATATAACATAAATATATACTTTGTGAAAACGTTTTGAATAACATCCCTGCTGAAAAATCCAGCTTAAACCAGCCTAGGCTGGTTGGCTGGTTTAAGACGGTCGACCAGGCTGGTTTCAGAGGGGTTTTGGCCACTTCCAGGCTGGTTTCCAACCATTTCCAGCCTGGTCACAGCTGGTCAGGCTGGAAATGACCAGCCAAATCCAGCTAAAACCAGCTTGACCAGCCTGTTTTAAGCTGGATATAGCTGGTTTTGGCTGGACTTCCAGCTTAGCTAGGCTGGTCAAGCTGGTTTTAGCTGGTCATCTCCCAGCCTGACCAGCTAAGACCAGGCTGGAAATGGCTGGAAACCAGCCTGGAAGTGGCCAAAACCCCTCTAAAAGCAGCCTGGTCGACCAGCTAAAACCAGCCAACCAGCTTAGGCTGGTTTAAACTGGATTTTTCAGCAGGGCATTACATGGACTAAAAGACATTTCAAGAAAATTGTAAAAAAAAAAAAAAAAAAAAAAAAAACATTGTAAAAGTTAATGAGAATGTTCAAAAAACGTTTTTAGAACCTAAAATCATTAGCTGGGTAATAACAAACTGGTCCGCCTATAGAAGTGTTTGTTTTTATATTTTGTTTTGTGAAATGTAAACAAAAGACACCTCTCCTAGTTTACACGTACACTTGCTATAACAGTTACTAAAAGTGAGGGTGGAGATAATGTTGAAAGCCGCCTCTGTAATGATTCGCTTGTCACACTCCTTCGACAGGGCCAGCCAAGGTCACCAGCTCCTGTCTCAGCCAAACAGGCCTGGCATGAGCTCTGCTTCATCTTTACTGATACCATCACGCAGCGCTCCATCACAATCCTGAAACTTTACCAAGCCCGCCGCTTGGAAAGATCACGCCATGCCCAACACTGCTATCAGCAGCTCAGATCAGCTGAATAACACTCGCCTCATAAATGTCACTCATGTAACATTACCCACACACTGCAGCCCCACATACACCGCCATTCAGATGCTCTCATTCCTGTTATCCAGCCTGGCAGAATAACAAGCACCACTCAAATGAAACGTCTTATGTAATACTGCAATTTTAAGACTCTTTGAAGTGTGGTCCTGCACAACCACTGGTAAATTGTTCTCCACGGCTTCTTACCTGCCAGAATATACTGTCTATTGTGTTTCCGAGGAAGCCTTCCCGTGTTTCAGAGGACAGGAGCTTAGGTCCGAGTATTGTCATGAACTCATCGAAATCCACCTGTCCATCACCTGCAAAACAAACTCAAGTCAGAATCTGGCTCACACATACAAGAAACTGCATTTAGAATAAAAGTAATCATTGTCAATCTAGAGAGTTCAAACACTGTACTGTGGCATGCTTGCTGGTACAACAGTAAACAATGTCAAGGGTTGCTGTGCAGTTGCTAAGGTATTTTTTTTTTACATGTTGCTTTAATATGTGGTTGCCAAGGTGGGCTAATTGTTTTTAAAAATGTTGCTATATGGTTGCTAAGGTGTTTTGACTGTTTTTGCATGTTGCTATGTGGTTGCTAATGTATTTTTTAGCATCTATGGGGTTACTAAAATGTTCTGACTATTTTTAGCAGGCCCATGCACTCGCAATTACCTGAATGTTGCTATGTGGTTTCTATGGATGTCTGACAGTTTTTAGCATGTTGCTATGCAGCTGATAAGGTGTTCTGTCTGTTTTTCGCAAAGTGCTTTGTGGTACTAAGATGTTGTGACAGTATAATGTTGTTATGCAGCTGATAAGGTGTTCTGTCTGTTTTTAAAATGCTTCTATGCAGTTGCTAAGATGGTCTGACTGTTTTTAGCACATGTGTGGTTACTAAGATGTTTTGACTATTTTTAGCAAGTAGCTATGCCATTCTAAGGTGTTTTGTATTCAATATGACATTATGTGGTTGCTATGGAGACTGTTTTTAGTATGTTGCGCTATGCAGTTGCTAAAGTCTTGTTTTTAGCACAATGCAATATGACTGCTAAGATGGTCTAACTGTTTTAGCTTGTTGCTATTGATGAGGTGTTCTGACAGTTTTAACATGTCACTATGCATTTTCTACTGTGTTTTGACTGTTTAATAAGATGTTATGTGGTTGCTATAAAGGTCTGACTGTTTTTAGTATGTTGCTAATAGGTTACTAAGGTGTTTTGACAGTCTATATTGCTATAAAGGTGCTAAAGGGCTCTGAATGTTTAAGAATGATGCTATGTGGTTGCTAAGGTGGTTTGACAGTTTTTAGTTGCTATGCAGTTACTAAGATGATCTGATTGTTTAAACAAGATGCTATGTGGTTGCTAAGATATTCTGACTATTTTTAGTATGCAGTTAGAATGTAAAGGGTGTTTATAAAGTAGGTTGTTGCTAAGGTGTTCTGACAGTTTAAGCATGTTGCTATGCAGCTTCTAAGGTGTTTTGACTATATATTATGATGTTATTAGGTTGCTACGGAGCACTGCTTTTATCATGTTGCTATGTGGTTGCTATGGTGTTTGACAGTTTTAGCATATTGCTATGAAGTTTCTAAGGTGTTTTGAATGTTTTAGCAAGTTGCTATGTGGTTGCTAAGGTGGTTTGACAGTAGCATGTTTTTATGCAGTTACAAGATGTTCAGATTTTTTTAACATGATGCTATGTGGTTGCTAAGATGTTCTGACTGCTTTCAGTATGCATGCAGTTAGAATAGAGTATAGGAACTATGACGTCAATTTGTATGCAAAAACCCGGAAGCGATTTAGCATTTTAGCAGTTCCAGTTCCCTCGTCCCAAAGTCAATGGGTTTTCTCGATGGGGTTTCAGTAAAATCGCTTAAATAAGGTTCGTGGCTAACACAAACTCAAAATACTTTCACATTTTGTTCTACTACATAAAACACATCAGTTACAGCACACTCTTGATTTTTTAAATCGGTTATGCTACTTTAAAAAGACGAATGCTATCAAGTTGCTAAATGGGACTACAGGCGGTGTCGGGGACATTATACGTCATTGAGCTGATCTGGTCTAGAGCGCACCTTGCTCGGGATGGGCGTTTGGATTTGTCTGTTATTTAGGTATTTTCATGAATAGTATTATATAGTTTGTAGTAATTGGGAATTCAGCTATTGTGTGTAGATAATGCCTTCACTTGTAAAGGCTGTCGAGACAGATTCATTTGTTGATCATTTATTTTAATAAACAATATTATGAAGATACTGCTTACTAGTGCAGCCTGCCTTTTTCCTGCTCTCAGTATTGCAAATGTGTGAATAAATGTGTAAAAATACATGCATGTTAACTGTCATTTTAACATGATCAAGTGATTTTTTGTCTTTTTTTCTTCATCTGAACACATTTAACTCTGTCATAACTGCAATATTTACACTCCTCCATGAAATCTATAGCAGATGTAACTGTATGGGCTGCTTTTTATTGTACTTTGTGACAAAAAAGGAATATTGAATGTTGTTTTGTGTCCGTGATGGAACTTGCAGGCATTTGATAGACTTCTCCTCACGCCTCATTGCTGTCGTCTGTAGGTAAGCAGGCTGTGAGGACCCGAGCGATACACTTATTTAAATATGTCTGATGATAATACTATGTAGGCAGATTTGTACACACAGTTTTAAAACAGAACGACTTTAAAGCAAAACAAATATTTCCCACGTAAAAACGATCCAAAAGGCTCATAGGTTTATGTGTTTTGGCGTATTTATTTGTTTATTTTATAGCGTGGATTATAATATAATAAACAAAGAGATAGACAAAGAGATCTTTGTCATGGAGCACATTTCTAAAAATAAGCTTGAAAAGTAGTCTGTAGCGGGGTGGTGCTGACGTCACAGACAAGCGCCCTGAATTCAGTGTAGTCCGTTTATAGCCTAATATTAGGTTTTCAGTTCTTGCGTTTACATTTAAGATCCAAAAGTGCTCAAAGTTGTATTTTCAAGTGAGGATTATCCGACTGGACAAAACATGTAATTGTAATGAACAGTGTTTGACCAGAGCTTATTATTTGCAATCTTTGAAAAGCCTATGGGAAAATCCTATAGGGATTTTCACGAGGGAACCAGTTTTATGCTAGCAGCCGAGTAGCCTACAAAGTGACGTCATAGTTCCTCCACTCTATGTTAAGGGTGTTTATAAAGTATGCCACTGCTAAGGAGGTCAGACTGTTTTTAGCATGTTTTCTATGTGGTTACTAAGATGCTCTCACAGTTTTTTGTATAATGCTATGTGGTTGCTAAGAGGTTCTGACTACAGTATATTCAAGATGCATGCAGACAGAATTTTAAGAGTGTTTGATTAACTGGGTTGTTGCTAAAGTGTTCTAACAGTTAGCAGCATGCCATGTAAAAGCTAATGTGTTCTATGTGTTTTCTTAGCCTGTTGCTATGATGTTACAATAATTTTGAGGGTAGTTGCTAAGGGGTTCTATGAAAAGAGGTATCTAACATGTTTCTATACAGTGTTTTGTTTGTCTTTAACCAAACATAGGTGTCAGTGTTACTTAAGCAAGTAGTGGTTTTGAATATTCACAAAAATGCTTATTAAACACCTTTCCTGCTTGCTGCCCAAACAGAAAAACCTCATTGGTCAGCATCAGACTGACATGTCAGGCTTTTGAAACACCACAAAGCCACACATTGAGACGGCTCTGCACTGTAAAGAATGCTTCATCTTTAAGACCTACTGTTAAACAAACTATACTTCAACATCTGCTATGAATAATCAGTCTAAAAATGAACAAACATAATGTGTTGTTAGCATGCCATTTCACTGAGTGAATGGGTGAGACCTGTGCTTGCAAAATTACTTCCACAAACATTGAAGCGCTCCTGAAGATGAGTCAGACAGCTAAAACAATAATGTGAATCATCATCATCTGCTTTCATCCGCTGGCCAAAATCATCTGCTGTCTGCAGATCAGTGGCCAGCTATCACGACCACTGATGAACGGACAGATGTGCTGACACTCATTAGGTCTAATCAGATGTTTATGTCAGGTTTGTTTTACAAACTCATATTAGCAAGTTCTCTGATCATGATAAAATGATGACTTGACAAAACCTGTGGCTTAAAAAGGCATTAAAAAAACAAAAGTTTTATTTAAAAAGATTTTAGTTGTCATAAAAAATAATGTGGTGTCTTTAATAGAAAGTTAAGCCCCTGAAATCAAAGGCAATGGCTGTTTCTCAATACCAAGTACGCAAAGTTCGGACTTGCGTCCTTGGAAGTTCAGACTTGCCAAGTTCAGATTTGGAAGAACGAACTCCCGAGGATGCAAGGACACAAGTCGGGTACTTCTTCAAATAGATCAGCAGTGTACTTTATAACGTCACTTACCTCACCATGGATTCATCGGTTTCACTGTACATTAACAATAAAATGATTTAATTAATATTATATTAATATTATAAATCTACATTTTTGATTTAAGAAAATGTACACATATATTCATATAAATGTGAATTAAAATGAGTTATTATACACTGACACATGTCTTTGATTCTAAGAATTATTAAACTACAATAGTAATTATACACACAATAAGAAATAAAGACATACACGATAAGAAATAAAGATTACGTCAAACAATTTGGTAAAAGACAAACAGCGTACAACACGGTAACATAATTAAAGACCATTATAAAAGGTAACAAAATAATAATGCCAAAATAATACACCTGAAAACAAATAATAGATTTATAAGACAAAAAACTGTCTGTTAGATATTCACAAGATGTATTAAATATCATGTTTTAACTACAATAGAGTGATGGGGTCCAGCGGTATGTCCGAGATGGCCTGGCCGAAGTAAAGCTGCTCTGGCGGAGGAGCTGATGACGGAGCTCCCGCTGGCAGGCTGGGAGTCGGAGTCCGCATAAGTTGAGCCACATCGTTAAAGATCTTTGTGAATAAACTGCCGATTTGAGTTTAAAACAACTACTTTCTCGCCTAAAAAACTCTTAGAACTTTATTTTGTGACAAAGTAAAAGATTATTTTTAAAACCGTGCGGGTTTCCTCCTCCGCCATTAGCGCTTGCTGGTTACGCTGCAATGCATTCTGGGATACCTGAGCTTCGCAAGTTCAAACAAGTCACCTCTTGATGTATCCTTGGCCAAAGGGGCAGAGCAAGTACACATCCGGAATTTCATCTGTACTTGGCAAGATGTGAACTTTGAATTGGAACAGTACTTTGGCGACTGTTGATGACGTTTCACGAGGACACAAGAACGCAAGTACAGACAAGAACGCATATTGAGAAACAGCCAGAATGTCAAGTTGCTATTTTATGAGCATATGCCAATGAAGCAGAGAAAATATTACTGCTTTACCAATTCATTTCCACCTATACTCTACTCCCTTATACAAAATATGTAAGCCCAAAGAACCTGCAGATTAGTTTTGGTGGCTTACGGGAGATGAAATTGAAGCCAACTGAATTGAGAAAAAAAAAACTGTAAAATAAACACTAAAAAGTAGCAGATTCTGCAAATGCCAGTCTTTTGTGTCAAGGGAGCATTGAAGCTCAATTGTGATTGTCAAATCACATTTCTTTAAACAAAAAAATATTTACTTCTTGGAGTGGGTAAAATTAAGGTAACTTCAATGTAAAGGTTAGTGTAAGTATTTTAGGAACCTAAAATATTATATACACATATGTTCTTTTGTTATATTTTTTAAGTCGTTTTACGTTTGTTTTGTTTTTTTAAGGGTGGTCCACTACGATATCATATTTTAAACTTTAGTTGATGTATAATGTAGCTTTGTGAACATAAACAACATCTCTGAATGTAAGATGCTCAAAGTTCAATGCAAATGGAGACATTAGCTTTTACAGAGTTAGCTTAGTGAAGCCTACAGGGAATGAATTTGAGGACTACAAAAAATACATCTGGGTTAATGAGATCACAAGGGCTTCTGGTTCCGTGCATTCACAACGCACACACACCCTGCACAGTGAAGGGGCATGGCCAGAGGACCTGTAATGTTAAAGGGTCACGAAACACCAAAACACATTTTTTGAGCTGTTGACAGTCGTATATGTGTCCCACACTGCTAAAAACACTATTAGGACACCTATATTTCATTAAAAAGTGTAAATTGGTTGTTTTTGTGTTATTTCAAGCAAATTCGTACTTCCAGTTTGAAACGAATTTTTGAAGCTGCGTCACGGTCATGACATAATAGCCTGTATTCCAGCGTGCAGACTGGGCGTCTGTGCCAGAGTGTGTCTTATTACGTCTTACAGTGTGTTGCATTAATGCATGAGTAAGGCTTGGTTCAAACCAATCAGCGCGCTCTATTGTGCAACTTCATTAATATTCATTACTGTCACAGTGTAGACGGCAAAGACGCCACGTTGTGTTGGCAAAACAAGCGTGAAGTGTTGCTTTTATAGTTTGCTGCAGTTAAGTTTCGTTTTCATTTTGTCTCTGTGAGAGCGCAGACTCACGTGTGGATTAAGTGTACGCGACGCGCGACAACAATAACTTACGTGTCTAAGGAGGATTATTGTTTACCTGAGAGCTGTTCTCATCTGCAAACGCTGAGATCCAGATTGTAGTCTCCTCTAAATAAAGACCTGGTTCTAGTTGCTGGTGATTGTCCTGTCTCTACAGATTTGGTAAGTGAGCGACCAGTGCTCTTTGTTTATTCAGTTCGTATTTTATTCGTATCAAACAAATTATTGCACCGAGTGCAATAGTTAGCACTAACAGTTACAACCAAACTATAACCTCGTGTTGGATTTTGTAACCGGAATAACACACGCGGCTTTCTGACGCTCCCTGCCGTGTGCATCTAAGTTTCCGGGAAATGCTGAGTTTTTTTTTCTCTCATTCGCCGTGCGGTATCAAACATTGCATGAAAAATACACGCTTAGAGCAGCGCCTCGAATCAAATATCACGTTTGTCGGGAGGGACATTAAGGAATTCCCTGAATGAAAGAGCCAAACTGCAGTTAAAGTCCACCATTTAATAATTTGGCAAATAATTAGACTACAGATGTCCATGTAAACACAGCCACATTGTCCGCTGTGGGTGTGTGTTTTGACTCTGAAATTCAGCGCACCCAAATAGACACTCCCATACCAAGCCGCTTTTCTTCCTCCGACACTCCCCCCTTAACAGAGCTGGACACGCCCACTTTTCTGACTTTTTCCAAAGTAGAGGTGTGAAAACACACTGCTGAAACGAGGGGGTTTCATGGCCCTTTAAAGCAGTGAAAGCTAAAAAGCCATGCAAATGCTGCTATTTACACAGAGCTTGTTGTTTCTCTATTTGGGCTTCCAAAGGACACGACACAGAGAGAGAAGTGCTTACAGTTTCATTAAATTATGTTCCGCAGAATTATAAAAAATATATAGCTAGCATTTGACAAAGGACAGCTTCCAGAATCTTTCCCATTTCAATGCTGGACTTGGTTAAAACTCCTTCAACAGACGAAGCTGTGGATTGTGAGCCACAAGCTGTAGGTTACTATAAGCATGTTTATTTGTTAAAATTGATCAATTACAGGCACAGTTTCTAGTATTACGATATGTTGTAACGAGGACGTAAACAAGGATGTAACCAACGGGAAATGCTGTTTGGCATAGCTAACAATTTAGCTACAAATTCATATCAGTCAAACTCCTGTAAACAGCCACAGTCTTCAGCAGCGTCTCTCTATGCCTCTTTATGTGCCGGCCCTGCGTTCTACATCTCAAATAACAAACTCACAAAAGATATGTGGACGTTTCATATTACTTACACATGCTTATTCCGAATGTATGTGAAAGACACTTGTCAGATTTTATTTTAGAGACCAGGCATGAGGCTCAACTTTGTGCTCTTAATTTTTCTGTCTGATTCAGGCAGCTAATGCTGCTAACAGCTGCTCTGACTGGACTGATTATACAGTGCAAAAGAACACGCTTGTATATGGGAGTGAAGTGGAGCTAGTTTGGGAATCACAGCACATTATGTTAGCTGACCAATCAGAGCCTCCTTAGGACAGGCCTTTCAGAGGAACTAAGAAATATGACAGTCATTTTAATTTTAGCAGAGTAGCTTTATATAATGAAAGTACGATATGTGAAAAAATAACCTGATTTTCTACAAGTGAAGCATGAGCACACATTTGCATCCTTTAAACACAACCCTTAAAGTCTGCACTAAACTAATCATAAGTAATAGCAAAGATATGTATTATATTAAAATAAACAGGTTTTTTAACTCTCTATACATCAAACAATCTTTCAAAAGGGTTTTGAAGTGTCCAAAAAATTAAGCAGCTTAAAATTTTTTAACATACTTATACATACAACTTAATATACATTGTATACATTTTAACTGATATTTCTTGAGCACCAAATCAGAATGAATTCTGAACACTCATGTGACACGAAAGACTGGAGTGATGATGCTGAATATTCAGCTTTCAAAACAAGAATAAATTACATCCAAATAAAGATTTTTTTTGTAATAATAAGTCACATTTTCTTGTATTTTAGATCAAATAAGCAATGGACTTGTTGAGCAAAAAAGTCTTTTCACATTATAAGAGCCCAGCTTCTCAATGCCAAAACACGTAAATAAACATAATAAGTATTGACATTTACATTTAGTGTTAGGGAGAAAGAATTTCATTACTGCAATATAAAACCAATAGAAGTCAATGCCAATTCCCCACCATGACAGCAAACCAATGTGTTTATGTTGATGAGAAGGTGGACTCACCATCCATGTCCAATCTCTGCATGATGATTGCCAGCTCCACTTCACTGGGCATGTACCCTAGAGAGCGCATGGCCATGCCAAGCTCCTGCTTCGAGATGAACCCATTGCCATCCCGATCCAGGACTCTGAACGCCTCCCGGATCTCTGCCAAAACAAACAAGTGTGTGCCTTAACACTTCAGGTGGCTTCCCTGAATAAGAACTGCTTATTCTCCTCTAAGCAATGTTTGCAGAGATTTACCAACTACACCTGCTTTTACACCAGCGGCTTTACTTGACTTTTCTTTTAAATGGCTAAAGGAGAGCTACATATCTTAATTTTAACCAGACACACAAACATGACTTTTTATTTTGATATCTCTCAATCAAAAACTCTGAAAAGCAACTATTTAGTGCCCTACACTAATTTTGGCATCATTGGTAAATATGAGCAAAGAAGGCTCTGAAAACACCCGCTTCAAATGTTATCACTCGATTAAATGGGTGTTATCAGTGGTTATCAGCTGATAGATATGGGCCAGTAATGGACTTCTGCATCTACTAGCAGGCTCAGAAGACCATCATCAGAAAATCATCCATCCACATGACTAATTAGCTACACTATATTATATAGAAGCTATACTAATAGAGACGACTCCATTCCATATCTGTTTTTACATGGTTGGGTTTAGGGTTGGGGTAGATGTTAATAAAATACAATTAATGGGAAATGTAATAAATGATATAAATAATTTTCTCTAAATTCCGATCGCAATGGTATGTGATTTATAGCTGATTAAGCCTCTCAGCATTTATTTAAATTGTGAACAAAAAACTGCTCTCTTTGACAACATATACTGTAATTTATAATGCTGAAGTTTTATTAAAAACTAATGTCTTTGTTAAATTCATTCATTCATTCATCCATTTTCTTGTCGGCTTAGTCCCTTTATTAATCCGGGGTCGCCACAGCGGAATGGACCGCCAACTTATCCAGCAAGTTTTTTACGCAGCGGATGCCCTTCCAGCCGCAACCCATCTCTGGGAAACATTCACACAAACACACACACACACACACACACACACACACACTCATACACTATGGACAATTTAGCCTTCCCTATTCACCTATACCGCATGTCTTTGGACTGTTTGGAGGAAATCCACGCAAACGCAGGGAGAACATGCAAACTCCACACAGAAACGCCAACTGAGCGGAGGCTCGAACCAGCGACCTTCTTGCTGTGAGGTGACAGCACTACCTATTGCTCCACTGCTTCGCCCTTTGTTAAATTCATATGAGATAAATATTTTTGAAGTACTGTATATTCCAATTGAATAGCAGTGGTGGAGAGTAACTATAGTGTAACCTCACTACTGTGAGCAAGTGCATTTTATAGGTATCTGTACTTTATCAAAGTCTTTTTTTATTTTGGGAAACTTTTACTTCACTACACTGCAAAACAAAAAAATGGGCTTTTTACTCCACTACATGTCCTAAGTAGCTGAGTAAAAATCTTCGGTATTTAACTCACTGATTCAAATAATCTGTTCTGAGTGAGTCTCTGGTATTAAACTCAATGATTCAAATGATCTGTTCAGAGTGAATCTCCGGTATTAAACTTACTGATTCAAATGATCTGTTCAGAGTGAGTCTCTGGTATTAAACTCACTGATTCAAATGATCTGTTCAGAGTAAATCTCCGGTATTAAACTCACTGATTCAAATAATCTATTCAGAATGAGTCCCTAGTAATAAACTTAAAGATTCACATGATTTGTTTAGAGGGAGTCTTCAGCAATAAACTTGCTGATTCAAATGATTTGTTTAGAGTGAGTCTCCAGCAATAACTACACCAATTCAAATTATTCATTCAGGGAGTCTCCAGTAATAAACTCACTGATTCAAATGATCCATTCTGATTCAAATCATTTGTTTAAAAAGTCTCCAGTAATAAACTCACTGGTTCAAATGATCTATTCAGAGGGAGTTATCAGTAAAAAAAATATATATATGATAATTTACTGATTCAAATGATCTCTTCAGTGTGAGTCTTCAGTAAACAACTCACTAATTCATATGATCTCTTCAGAGTGAGTCTTCAGTAATAAACTCACTGATTCAAATTATCAGAGTGAGTCTTCAGTAATAAAAGCACTGATTCAAATTATCTATTGAGAGTGAGTCTTCAGTAAATGACTCACTGATTCAAATTAGCTGTTCAGAGTGACTTCCATATTATGAAGAACAAATACCATAAAAGTCAATGGTTACAGGATTCAAAGGATACAGGGACTCATCTTATTTTGTGTTCCGCAGATGAAAGAAAATCAAATGGGTTCTGAACATGTGAACAGTGAGTAAATTTTCAGTTTTAGGTGAACTATACCTTAAATATTTTACACAAAAGATTAAAAGGTAACACAATGAAGAGATTTGTCCCAGGCTCCTTTACTCATTCATATCTAGGATGCCAGTATTAACGGTTGGCACTGTATCTGCAATGTAGACGAGCTCCGTTAGATGCATATTTTATAAACAATTTTTCTTTGAGGAGGAAACTTGTGTGAGCAAAGGTTCTGTTTTTTAAAATAGAACTTGAGTGTCACATCTCTGAAGAGCACGGCGGTTGCACTGCTGCTCGAGCACACAGCGGTACACTGGGTAATTTACACACTCACGCCATTTGAAGTCAAGCAGCCTGGGAATTAACATGCAGGAATCTAAAGCTTTCTGAGTTTTGATGACACAATGCACTCTTCTCATGCGCCTAAATCAAGACTTATGACTGCACAGCAACACTCATAGTAACAAGTAATGCAACTTAATAAGGGGTCCTGTATTCAGTTACACATTTGATAAGAAAAAATATTTTTCAAAGGAAGAATTGCTATATAAAAATTTATTTAAAAAAAAAAATACTGATAAAATATTATTTTTGTAAGTTTTGTCAGTCACCAAGTTGAGTCAAGTTTAAAGTTAGTAACTTCAATCGGTGGCCATCTTTGAAACCCCTCTCGGCCAGTATGCTCGGCAATTCTGTCTGAATGGAGAAACATCAAATTCTCCAAAACTGCTAGCAAAGCTTACAATTGTATTTCATATTAGGAATCTCTAATACAATTAAACAACATCTTGGTCGTTAGTTTCATTTCTAAACATCCAAATCACACAAAATCTGCAGAAACTCACATCTGGTCCATGCCCCTGCCTCAGAGAATGGTCAGTCTATATTGATTGATGATTGGCTCCTGCACTAAAAGATGGACTTTTTCCGTCATATAGCGATCAATGATTGGCTCATGTACTAATAGGTGGGCTTTATTCGCCATATATCAATCGATGATTGGCTCCTGTACTAGTAGGCCTGATAGACTAATTAAATGAACAATATAAACAGCACACACACTTACAGACTTTGATGAGTCTTGTTTTTGTACACTATGAAGGGTTTTCTAGTTTTGTCTTTCTATGTTTCCTCAACCCTTGCTTTGTTTGTTGTTTATTGTTTCTTGTTGTTAGCCGCCTGGACCTCTTTGCCTGCGTACCGACTACTCTTTTTGGCTGCCCATTATGAACCCGTTTGCACCTGTTATTAACCATTGCCTGCCTGACTATTGTTGTTAAAAGGGATGCACGATATATTGGCGGCCATATCATTATCGGTCGATAAGTGGTTTTTTAAGATTATCGTTATCGATCCAAAGTCTAAATTAGGCCGATATCTTTAAGATGAATACATTACGCTATTGTACAGACCTGCTTGCCGAGCTCGCGTGGGCAGAACTTGTTTAGACGTGCATTATAATGAAGCTCTCCTCACACTGATTATTCTTTCATAGTCCGTCCTTTCTTCATGTGGTATTGCTTAGCGTTAATAACTCAGTAAGCAACCATATTCCTTATCATTGTAGATGTGTTTGATTGAGTGTCATTGTGTATTTTGCTTCAAATCGCCTCAGGAAAAAATATTACATGTGTAAACCTTTCCTGCTCTATCTCTTTGTTGTGTTAGAGATAGCAGGGGAGATTTACTTGTTTCTCTAGGGCCAAAAAATATTAGTTTCGGGATTAACTCCCTTCTCTTTTTGTTGCAGCCGGTGAATGAACAAGGACACATGTAACTTGGCCCAATCATTTATCACTCTCATTGCGAAAAAAACGCTCCTGTTTTCTGTCTCTCCCGCTCCACTTCATACACATATACACGCCAAACTGCAGCCCCTGCACACATGCTAAACAACAACTTGTCGGGCTGTTTATAATCTAATATGATTATTTGTTATTATCAACGCGTTGCTTGCCATGTGATGTTGATGAAAAGATTGTATTCAGTTTGATCGGAATATTCAAATTGATTATAACAAGCGTACGTGAGAGCTGTCACCGCGCGCGCGCACACACACATCTGACAGCCTTCACAGATCAACGGGGGAGAGCCTAGGTGCTCCGGTCACTAAATCCAGAATATGGGCTCTCAACTCGCAGCACATTTTGTCTTTATATTATGCTTTGTGTTTGTCATAAAGTCATCTGAGCTCAATGATCAGGTGTTGAATCAAAATCTAATTCCGGGGGCAAAAATTATCGGCCTATACATATCGGCTATCGGCCTCCAAGTCTGAAGGATTATCGGTTATGGGTATCGGCCTAAAAATCCATATCGGTGCATCCCTAGTTGTCAATAAAGATGCTGCATTTGGATCCTCAACTTCGTTGTCAGAACCACTTCGTAACAGCTAAACTACTCAGTAAATGTTTTTTTTTTTTTTTATATTGGCTTATTATGAATAGTGTGATTGATTAGCTATACTATATTATTTTTGTATTGGTAGTAATGATAGTTTTTAAAGTCATCGAATATATAAATCCTAAAATAATTTAAAATTAGTTTGCTTATTTTTGGGGGAGGGGGCATTACTTGCATTTTATAAAGATTTCTAAGGGCAATTTCCAGTTAAATGTAAAACATTATAATGATATATTGATATAAGGATGATGAAACCAATGCTAAATTTCAATATTATTTGTAATTTTTGATCTGACACATTTTTAGAAAAAATTATTATTATTATTTTTTAAATGCGATATTAAAATTAACTTTTAACAAATTTCTTGGTGAAGTTTTGGATGAAATTGTCTTAGTCATGTATTTAATTCCACAT